TCTGAAATGTAAGATTTTATGTTTTTATGTATAAGTTAAAATTTTATTTATTTATTATGTATTTGGTACAGGGTCTCACTACCCAGCTCAGACTTGTGGTGATCCTCCTGTTTCAGCCTTTCCAGTACTAGGATTACAGGCGTGTGCCACTGTACCTGGTCTTGGTGGTGGCTTGGCATGATGTAGTATTGGGGATTGAATCCAGATCCTTGCATTTGTCTAGGCAGGTCCTTAGACCACAGAGCTATCTCTTCAGCCCATAAGTTAAAAATTTAAATTAAAAACTATTGTCTCTCCACACATATGTGAATGATGATATTGTGATTCTGTTTCTAACACATTCCTAATTTTATGTGTATATACATAAACAAATTGTACACTATACATATACATGAAGTATAAGTACTTATAACTCAATACACTGGTGAAATTGTATAAACTAGTTTTTAACTTCATGTTTTCAGAATGAGATGATTAAAACTCAGTGGACACAAGTTGATAATAGTCACCGTTGAAAGCTAGATAGAAAGTTTACCCGTCAATTTTTTTTCTGTTTTTGTTTTAATTTAAAATATCATATTATTATATTCTTTCTCCACCATGTAAGAATAAGAGAAGATAAAGTTTAAGAATATTATTGTAGGTCTGTTTCTCTGAAGTGTAATGACTGGAAGAATCTTCTAATTCTGTTTGTTCACAGAAGATGCAGGGAAAAATAGAAAGGATGTATATCATGAAAAATAATTAATGTGTGATTTACTTACATTTTTCTGGCTGATGGATCAGTTTATTGCGGATCATATGAAGAGTTATGAGAGCCATGAGTGCAGACACAAAAGGAACAAGTAAAACAAAGGCCCAGGGTCGGGAATACTGGACATACGAAATTCCCAGAAACACGACAGTCGCAATTAGGTTCATGAGCCAATGAAACCTGGTGTGCACAGAGAGACAAAAATAAAAACATGATTGAGTTACTTTGAATAACAATTAGTAATTGTTATGGTTTGTCCCTAGGTGTCCCCTCCAAAGCCTCATGCAGTCGTGGGGTGGCCTGCTAGAGTTTGTGATTAACTCATGATTATGGGTGTGAGTGCTGCTGGGATTATGGGTGTGAGTGCTGCTGGGATTATGGGTGTGAGTGCTGCTGGGATTATGGGTGTGAGTACTGCTCCCAGCTTGGGGCGGATAGCCTGCATGTAACAAAGGAGAGACAGAGACAACAAAAGAGAGGCAGAGAGACAGACTTCTCTCTGTAGCCATTGTTGCTGCTCCTGCCCTTTTGCTCTTGCTGTTTTGCTGCCTCCCGCCACTACGACCTGCTGCCCTCTGCCACATGCCACTCTACCTTGGAGTCAGCCGAGTATGGACTGAACCCTCCAGTAACTGTGAGCTAAATAAACCTTTCCTTCCTTTCTTTTGGGTGTCAAGTATTTGTCCCAGCAATAAGAGGAGAGTAACTGAGACACTCATTTCAATGCTTTTCTTCAAATGTAAGCTATACTGGTAGCATATTAGATGCAGTAGTAGTGTACTCTAAATCAGAGGTTAATAAACTTTTTTTCTAGAAAGAGACTGATAGTAAATATTTTAGGCTTTGCAGGCCAAACAGTCTTTATAGAAACTATGTGGATTTTTTGTGTAACACAACAAGTGTGCATCATGTCCTCTCATCTTTGTGGATCTAGAAAAGCTGACTGCTAGAGTCAGATATGCCAGTACATCCCAGTTTTGTACAGGAAAACACAGAAGATTCAGAACTACCTGGCTTAACAGAGTGATTATACCAAACAGATGAATGGCGTTTGGGTAAGACCTTCACTTTCTTTTCACAATGATTACTGTCATAAACAGATACCCACTGTAGGAGTATGGTCTGCAAGTTTGATGGAGATAATCATTGGGTCTACACCTATCACTAAAATTCTACTGCAAAGGAGGGGTCTGAGTGTGGAGGTAAAAACATTACTGAGGTAAAATTAAATGGAATACAACTTGCTCATTTAATTACAGAGTGTGCAAACACAAATAGATTGATGTTTTCATACACTTACAGTATGCCTGAAGTTTAAATGGCTTGCTTACTTGATTGGATCGCTACTATTTGGGATAATGTGTCCTTGATTAACTCAAATGGAATTGATTATACACCTTAATGACCCGAGCAAAAGCCCTACACTTTTTCCAGAGAACATAATGAGAGGAGTGATATTTATTATCTTTGTCACAGGTTACATGGTGTACTCCTGCTCGGGAGCATGGGCCTGTGCACAGGCTGGTCTACCAGGGTCCATCCTATACAAGCCCACCACATCATCATCATCATCATCTTCTTCTTCTTCTTCTTCTTCTTCTTCTTCTTCTTCTTCTTCTTCTTCTTCTTCTTCTTCTTCTTCTTCTTCTTCTTC